AGCCTCAAAAGAAGACATGCCATGTAAACCATAGTGTTGAGTGTTGCTCCATAAACTGGCCTGAATTTAGGTTTTGTTATTTACAGCTAGAGCAGCAATGCATTTCAAAGCACTGGCTGGATTGCAGCTAGGAAATTGAAGATGAAAGATTTGACCTTTAAAAATGTGACCTCTTTGTCTAATGAAAGTATAGTCACCTCTTCTTCCGTGCTGCTATGAAGGCCGACCTTCACCCTCCAGGCTTCGAAGTGTCACCTTCAGTTTTACACAGGAGAATGAAATATACTTCTCTCTGCAGGCTTTCAGTATTTTTTGATCATAGACACTGACAGTGAGTCATCAATTAGATAATCAGTTTTGTATATCCCTGGAAATTAGCTGAGAAAATGATGGAGAAATGTCCCCTCAAATATCTGTGCCTAAGCAGACAGATCCTGCTCAGCCAGGCTTAAATCCCTTTGTGTTTCAACAAACATTTGAATTGCCACTCTTTGTTCACAGGGATATTTGGAGAGGGACCGTTTATCAGTGCTTGTACACAGACAAATCCATGCTGCAGGAATTGGTACTAATGTGGTGGTTAACCCCACTGTGGGTGTTTGGGAGGGTGCGAGGAAACACAGGGAGATCAGGGAACAAAGCAACCAACACTTTAGCCCAGATCCCCATGATGGATGTCTGGCAGCGGTGAGGAAGAGGATGAATCCCTGAGATGTGGTGAAGTCCTTGACCAGAGACACAACATTTGTGGTCCTTCCAAGGCTCACAGAAAGAAGGGCCTGAGCAGGAGCTGGGCAGCTAAAGACAAACTCCTTACATGAACTGCCCTGCTCTGGCTCTGACCTTAAAGATAACTGAAATGGACTTGTTTGGGTAGAAGAGGGACACACTGATAACTGTTTAGTACACGGTTCAAAATCTGACTCTTCTCTGAATGAAATGGAAAGCTATCAGCTCTGCTGTCCACAGATAAGAAAATTGGGTATCTTGGCAAGATTTCTGCCGGAGCTGAATTCGAGCTGCAAGCTAATACATCATTCACAGACTCTTCAATCCTTATTATCCTCTTTGCTATCTTGAATCAAAGTCCTCTGTCTTCTGGAGTTCAGTTCTTATTTTAACTGAGATATTTTTCTGAAGAGCAACCCTCCAATTTAGGGCCAGGCAATAAATTAATAAAACTATAGGTATAAATCATCACTCATGATTTGGAATAGCTCTGCAATAATTCAGGTCTATAAGGTTTAGCTAATGTTTCTAATGTAATATTCTGCCATGAGATTTAATTTGCCTCACACAAGTCATTTAGTAATCTAAGCATAGATGTAGAACAAACAACTATCTATTAAACCAGTATGTCCAGATACAGTGGTGTGGATTTGTCCATCACTAGATATCAGAGCAACACTAAACAGACGATTTTGGATAGATAGCCTCAGCTCTAAACTCTATTCAATTACATGTTTGTTGTTCTCTTGTTGTATTTGTTTTCCATTGAGCATCATGAGCTCTCTCACATGAGATTTCTGGGTACAAACAACTAATTTGCATTAAGTGGTTTTCTTAGTCATCTGTTTGCTATAATGCTATCTGAACATAATGCCACAAAAAGGACTCAGCCTTTTTCTATGGATTTGGCTAGTCATCACTCAGAGCTTATGACTGATGTATAAGATATCATTGAGATCACAAAAGCCACAGTAAGATATAGCCACAATCACCATATATCCAGTTATTCTAATTCAATTGTCCACGGCATTCCCAACATACCCCCATGCACTGCCCTTTGTGTGTGTTAGAAATGATACTGCACTTTTCATAAGGTAATAGCAATTAGCAGTACTATGGTTGGTGGCTGCTTTAGGCAGCATTGTCTCTTAGGTAAGCTCGTAGTTTTCTTCTCAGAAGTCATCACATGGTGGACCTGAATTACTGTGATATCTCTCTTGGTCACAAGGTCCTTAGCTATAAAAATGGTTAAAACTGGCTTTAGTCCAAAGTAACTTATAAAAGAATCTCTTTCAGTGAAAAGCAATGGGAAAGTACCCACCAGTTAAAGAGAAAAATGTAAATGGAACTGAAAAGCAAAAGCTAAGACAGAAGGGTGTTCAGCCAGGACCTGACACTTTCTGTGCCTGATCCATGCTTTTCTCTGCCACCTCTCTCTAGACAGGAAAGAGTGATACACTTTTTGCTGTATCACCTGCCTGTTACCCAGGGAGATAAAATTCCTCAATGAAAAAATGAAATGCAAGGCTGTATTCTTTCAGAACTAAGGCTCATTTTTTAATTTTAAATATCTCGCATCTTCAGGCAAAGCAGCATGCAGTATTTAATCTACAGGCTTCTTATTACTGTGTTTTGAATCAATATTAACCATGAACAGTTCTACTTCTGGAAGAGTCATCACCAGTATTGAAGAGCACACTCTTGGATGGGTACAAGTTCCAGAAGAGACCATCAGCATTTCCCTTCCTTGTTTTACTGTGCCTAACTAGAGGAAACCCCCAAAAGCTCAGATAAGCCTGGCACCACACAGCCCTAAACTTACCTTCCAGATTTAATTTCTCTCTGCCATCCCTCTCTTGCACTATAGGCTAAACAACTTCTTTTTAATAAGTGTTGATTACAAAATGCCCTGGTCTCATCCTGCTCAGATTGTGTGAATACCCTACTGCTAGACTGTTCTGAACTTGACCCTCATTCTGCATCCAAATTCAATGATACAGCCATTCATCAGCTTGATTTTGGCAGTGTTATACATGCCCTCTGAAACATTATTTTTGGCAGGCTCTCAAAGCACGAGTGACTTTCAGCATACAAATCTCACTGACTTGCTGCATCGTCTCCTTCGTGATCCTTGATCAGCAGGAGCTCAGGACCTCGGCTGACTAGCACAAAACCCAAAATAGTAGGTTTGATAATGCAAGTCTGAATAACAATTAAAATGTAACCTCGGTGACAACAGCTGGTATGTGCCTCTATGCTGCTGGCTGTTGGCATGTGCTCTGTGACTGCTTTTCTCAAACTACGTTCAGATGAGCTGGTCAGCAGGCAGAGAGTGTCCAAAAAGCACCTGCATATGGTCCCTAAATAAAGCAAATGTTGCTGTAAGTTGAATTGTCCCATCAAGGACTCTCCGGAGATGATAACTGCAAAGAGCAGGCCCCTGAATCACAGCCTTTTTTGGGTTAGAGAAGCAGTAGTAATGACTCTACATAACTTTGTAAGCTTTGGAAAATTTTAGAAGCATTTCTATTCTTTCTTTTTGAGTGCCTGCAGTTGAATGTTATTACCCCTGTGCTACCAATGGGGAAATGGCAACACAGAACAGACCTGGGGCTGTCCCAGCCCTTGAGATTTTCTACTTGATGGACCAGTCCTCAGGCTTTTTTCAAGATTGCTGGATCTCACCTTTTTAAGTTCTCAAAGCTTCAGAGAAAAGTATGAGGTGCCCTGGGATCCTTGTATGCAATATGTGAGTGTCCCTGCAGCAGTTCTTTGGGAAAGCAGTAGGAAGTATTTGGTTGCTGCAGTGCTTTACATAATCCAGCAATTAAAACATCCATATACAAAGGCATCTGGCCCCCCTGTACTTGAAGAAATGTGGTGGGGATCTGCTCAAGTTCACTAAGGCACAACTGACACCACTGCACCCAAACACCCCTCTTCAGAAATCCCTGCAGGAAAAATCCTGGAGGAGCTGCTTGGACAGTGGCACCATCCTCCACTCCCTGAGAGGGAACCCTCAGGACCAGAAGTGATTCAGCAGAAGATGATGCAGTGCAGAATTGATTTGCTTGGCAGACACCCCATTGCAGGTCTACTAACGGTGCTGTACAACACCTCTTTTATTGAAAATGAGAAAAGCCAAAACCTTTGCCTCTCACAGAAGGGAGATACCAAAAATGATGCCGTTTAGCATTGTTTTCTGTAGTTAATATACTATCCCAGCAAGTATGAGCCAGCCTTCATAACAGTAACCCACACCTTTGTTCTTTCAGCCATGCTAACTGGAGTCTTTGTATTCCTCAGTGGCCTGAGAGGTGAATCCAACCCTTGCCAGAGCAGATCTGGCATTTAATGAAAGAAGAGACAAACGCTCAGACTACAAAAATGATTCCTCACTGGGTTGTGCATATTTCATGCCACCAAATAACTGTAGTAAAAGCTGTGTTTTAAGCCAGTAAAACTTACTTCGTTTTTGCCTGATGAGGGATCAGGTTCTGGAAAACACATCCAGAAATAAAACAAGTAAAACAGAGCAAACAGCTCTGTCCTATCAAGGTGATTTATATCCTGTTAACCAGAAAAAGAAAAAAACCAACATGCACAAGAGACATCTGGAAGTGAAAATTAACTAAAACCAGATCAGCGACATAAACAAGAGAGAAATACAGCCTCCAGATCTGTGTAGCTGAGCCTGATGGATATCACAAACTGGATTGCTTGAGGTTTTTATTTTTAAAAGAACACAACAAATCAGGGAGGATATTTTCCATTTAAAGCTATAACTTCTCAATTCAGGGATTTGTGAGGGCATAAAAGACGCAAGCACAGAGGAAAAGAATCATCTGCCAACAGCTCTACATGAGTGTTGGTCCCAGAACAAATTCAATAACAATAACCATTATTTGAAAATCATTTTGGTTGCCAAAATTCATAACTAATATTATTTACAATCTGGTGTATGACCCCCCATAGGTTTAATTGAATCTAAAAAAGCATACTAACATACAGTCACATAAATAGTCATGCACAACTATTTGGAAATAATAGTTTAAATTTTAATTTTAAAAAAGCTAGTTAACCAAGAAAATTCTCCCCTGTAGCAGTATCTTCTTACACTGAGGGCTTTTGCTCCTGGTAGTGAAGGAATTTCTGAGTTTGGTGCATTTCCTCTAAATGTGTGAGAAAGGCTGTAGATGCTCCTAGCTGAAGAAAATCTGATTTTCACCTCATTGTTGACCTTGAAACCACTTTACTATTTTCTTGATTATCTAGCTATGAAATCTTCATCCAAATTGCAGTGGGATCTGCCATCTGTTTGATTCCCCTGCAGATCTGGGCAGAGCAGTTTTATGATCTGCTTCCACATCTATAATAGAGTGTATTTTTTTAAAGGTAGTAAACACTACTGATTAAAAAACTGGGGGGATGTTGGTTTAGTTTTTCATTTTCAGTGTTAGCAAAAATATCTTCATGGAGCTTTCATTTGCTCATATCACCCCCAAACCCCATCAAAGCAAACATTTGCTAAAATAATGGTCAGCTAAGACCAGGAAAGATCAGGTTTTGAATTAAATACCATTAGATCTTATGTACCAACAATACTGCCTTCCAAATTCAGAGTCCATAGGATTTTTAAGCCCAGAAGTAATTTTCAAGTACCAGACTGGTTTTGAAGTGCTGACAGATTAAAATGCTCTCTTGCTTTACTTAGAAGTTGACCCAGTTTGACAGAAAAATCTTCAGGAGAAAGTAAATGTAGAACTTTGTATTTTATTTGGTACTACTTCACAGTCTACAGCAATGCTCTGGAGGTCAGTAATGTTATCCAGGTGCTAAAAACCAAATCCTGCATCAAAACTAGAAAGGTGTACCTGGTTCTTTTATTCCTGCATGGAAATGGTGAGGTCTTTCTGTATGGTACCACATCCGTAGTGCACCCCCGTGTAAGTATTTTGTCCTGCTCCTGCACAGAAATAATACCATGTCAGTAATTCATAAGTATTACAGAGGCCCTTGCTGTGCTTCTGAAGTCATCAGAACCTAGTGAAAAGCAGTATGTAATTTAGTTTGGTTTTGTGTGACTTGTGCAGTCCTTATAGCTTCTTTACTTACGTACATTGTGGAACTGCCCCATGACAACCTCCCCAAGGGAGGTCTGTGGGATGAAAGATCCTGCACAGGTCTGCAGGTTGGGTTGGGCCTTGGAGAGGACTGCAAAATGCAAGGTGGAAGGAAAACACTGAAGTGGAAAAAAGGAAGAGTTAGAGAGACTTCATTTTCTAAATCCTGTAGATTCTCAGGCATCAAAGCGATGAATAAGAGACTTGCTGAATTCTTCTGCCCTGGAGGGGAAATTCAGCACAAGTGTCACTGGGACGCCTGCAGTGATTCCCAGGGACTGAAGGCATGCTTTGCATCCCTCATCCATGAGGCCAGCATGATGGCAGGAAGACATGGGATGTTCTGGTACAGATCTGTGACTCTTGACCAGGTCAGAAGCCCCATGAGGAACTGGACAGTGAACTGGGAGTTCTTCAGAGATCATTTTCATGGTGTGTTGCAGTGCTGATGTTTATGCTGTCCCTTTTTTATGTTTTCTTTTGCCATATGAGATTGAGTATTGAGTATAAGTGACTTTATATCATAAAAAAAGATATTTCAAATGAGTCAATAAACCATTTATCTCAATTCCTAATACAAGCATTTTTCAGTTGGTTGTCCAGGAAAAGAAGAAATGTTAACAGATACAATTCAGGACAAACGTGAAAATCATACATTTTAAAGGCAATAAACTGATACAAAACTTTATTGGACTCGACTATACATGTTGGAAATCACATATCTCAAAGGCAAAAAGCTCACAAAAAACAATAAACTGATGCAAAACTTTATCAGCCTCAACTATACATGTTCAAAAAAGAAAGCCCTACTTGTTTCCATGTTAATTAAAACTCTGAATATCTACAGTCTGAGCCAGCAGACCCAGTGTGACAGACCAGTGATGCAGGCGACTTTTGTGACTTATGCATCAGTGACAGTGGGGTGGGGGCTTGCCTGCCATGCTCTGTTCTAGGGACAATGGCACACATACAGGACCTGATCTCCTCGCTCCCAATGCTTGTTGCTGACACAGCTGTTGGTTTCACCTACACACTGGGCTGAGTAGGCAGCTAACACAGCAAGGGGCTAGGAAAGCCTAAGGCAAAGAGGAGGGAAGTGATGATGTCCAAAATCAGTAAGAGAGGGGAAGATGTAGCCACCTTAGGGGCAGGATGTCAGAAAGTGAAGTCAGAGAGGCACCCCCTGGTGTTACCCACCAGTGGCCATAAGGAAGAGGAGGAGAACCATGAAGCAGATGTCCTGGTGCCTTCCCTGTGTACCTCCCTTGCCCTTCTGCTCTTGCCTCCCTTTGCCTTGGATGCATTCTTTTGCTCTGGCTGCTCGAGCATATGGTGCTTTGTTTCCAGTGCCAGGGAGGATTTGTGAACAAGCTCCATATGCTTCTTGGGTTCCTTGGGCTGAGTCCATCTCGGGTGGGTGGCCAGCCTGGAGCACAGGAATGGGCACAGGCATGTCTGTGATGTAGCTACAGAGGTAGCTTAGGCAAAGAGCACAGGTAGAGTGCTCAGCTTAAAAGCTCAGGGAAGAGTGGCCATTCCCACCAAGGCTTCTCATAGTGTTTTCTCAAACCTTTGATTCAAGATGTGACGCCTGCAACCCTTACCTAAGCTGGCCCTGAGCCCAGGCATTCAAGAGCCTGGGAAGGGTAGGAGGGTGTGTTAGGGGCCTGACAGGTGGTGCTTCTTACAGCTGGTAAGCCCGACACAGAGTCCACAAGTGTTTGCTGCTCCTCTGCTTAGGGGAACAGAGCTCCTCATCCAATGGCTTAGGAAATTGTTGTGTGTTTGTGGAGGACACAAGGCTTCTCACTGAAGGAACTTGAGAGGGACCAGCAATGGGTGTCTCCAGGAAACAGTGCTGTTTGCTCCTCCTGAAGGAAGGGATGTGGGTGCAAAGCAGAAAAATCCTTCACGAGGGAAGAAAAGCTGCTCATCCAAGAAACAAGCAGTATCTGAGTGAGCAGTTAACATCCACTCCATTCCCCAGCATCACAGGAAGCATCACATCCGCTCCAGAAAAAGGGCATCTAAGCTGGAGCTAGATCTTTAATGTGCTCATGTAACAGATACTTGTGTAAAACATGCAACACACGTTGCAAGTCCTTAAAAATCAAGACCTCTGCCTGCAGTGGCACTGAGGTGGGCACAAGATGTGCTATAAGTACCAGTCTTGTGTTCTTTGGTTGTTTGAAGATTTGTTGTCATAGACGTTATCTGCAATGAATTGTTTTTTCTAATGTTATTGCTTTATACAGCCTAATTCTACTTGCCAAAACACTAATTTGTTGTAATTTTTTCTCTTTCTATCACTAACTCGCTATCGTAAAATGCATGGCAGCTTTAAAAATCAATCATGTTTTCTGAAGACGTGAAGAGGAGCCACTGTTTAGAGGAGGAGAAGAAAGCCTAGGCTGCACATCAAGAGAAAACACATTGGCTCAAAATTCCTGCAGTGTACCTCAAATTCCTTTCACTGTGTGCATGGTCTCAGTTTTCCACCTTGAGTATGGCTATTTATCAAAGAGCTCTTGGTCTGACTGTGGCCTCTGTGGCGTTCTTCGCATTGTCCCTTGTCCTCTGCACTGTGTAAAATAAAGATTGCTCTAAGTCTCCCAGAACATCTTCCCATTTCTTTCATCCTCCCACAGAGAATCAGGTCCTGCCAGTTGTACCCTAAGGTTAGTAGCAGAATTAGCAGGTCCTAATGTGACCCTCATCCTTTGACGAGTGCTTTGCCTCATCCTATGCTGTTGTGTCACGCTAACATAACATCTCTTTCCATTGCAGCAGAAGTTCCATACAGTGACCTCCCTCAGCAGCATCCATGTCAGCCATAGTCCAACTCCCTCACACTTGAGCTTTCCCCATCCCTCTGTCCATAAGGTGAGGACATCCAGGACTCCCATTCTGCTTAAATAGCTGCATGATACTTTTTCAATACCATTTCCAAACTGCAACTCTTTGGAGTGTTCTCTGCCAAAAGGAGGGGAACAGTGTTGCTTCAGGGCTCTTATGGCTGACACAAATAATCCAGTGTCTGCAGCTGGGTCAGCAGACTAGGAGCACCCCAGGCAAGAGGCTTGTTAGGGTCTCTCCACACATACCTACCAGTGGCTGCTGTCAGAGATGAGGTAAAGGGCTGGGCAGAGCCTTGCAGGCGTCCAGGCTGACCAATCTCTTACCCTGCACAGAAAAAAACACACAACATGCAGACATGTCAGTCAGGAGTCGGCATCTGTCACACAAGGGGGTGGCTGCACCTGCAGAACAGAAAAGCTGGAGTTTGCTGACTTGCACCTACTTCTTATGCAAACACTTACAGATCTGCAATGACAAGAGGCAACTTCTGCCAGCACTGGAGAAGAGGCTGAGATTCCTCAGTTCTTCTTGCATTTGCTTCAGGGCAGATGTAGGAGAAATCTAGTGGAAACAAATCATGGTATACTCAAGAAAATAAAAGGAGGAAAATGCAAATAGTACTGAACACTATGGTGTTCACAGTTTAAGGTGCAGCTCCACCACATTCCTTGACAAAAACTAAATAACAGAAAACCATGGAGGAGGGGGACCTCACAGGTGCTTCTTAACCCCTTACATTGATCTTTCCAGAAGAAGAAATTATCTAATTCCTCACAAGGTCATTGTAAATTACCTACTGACCTTAAGAAAATGTCCAGGTGTTCCAGGGACACCAGAACAGAATCTGGTGCTGTTATTCAGAACTACAAAGAAAGAAAAAAAAAAAAAAAAGAAAGAAAGAAAGAAGAAACACAGTATTACAAACCAATCTGAGTGACTTGGCAAATGTGCAGGGTTAATTGCCACTTTATTGCTAAGGATGAAGATAATAAAATTGTATGGCTCCATTTTTCTCGCTGTGTGTCAGAACTCCTATCAATTGCAGATGTAATAATGCTTCTCCTGAAGTAATATAGATATGCTCTTTGTGTATTTATGTGCTCTTTGTGTATTTTCTGCTTTCTGACCTCTTATCTTTTCCAGGTCCTCCACCCTTTCTCTGTAAGTGCTGGTGATCTTAATTTATCCTGTTGTGGTAATTAGTCACAAATGTATTTCTGTTCCATTCCCTTTGGAGAGGACACTACACAAAGCTTCAGAGTAATCAGGAAAGTCATCGCAAGCCATGAGAACTACTTGCCTACAAAATAGCTATAAACTTCCCTTTCAAATCAATACTGGAAAGGATCTTTCCTTCTTCTCTCCTGGACTTTTATTTGGAGGGCAGAAGAGATCTGATCCATTGTAAATACTGATTTATCATGGTAGAGATAGTTGAGATCATGTGTATAATGTATTATAATATTTATTTGTACAGTCATTGTAATATATTCCCTTTCCCCCACTTCAAGTCTCGTGTAGTTGTCTGGAAAAAACCTTCTCACATTGAGTGGAGATGTGGGAGGGGGTTTGAAGACAGGGAATTAAATTTTTGGGGCTCTCAAACCATGACAGACATGTTCTGAGAAATACAAAAAAGTTATGAAAAGCTTATTTATATGGATATTACTAAAAAAAACAGATACTACGTTCCTGCTCTGGAGGGAAACAGAATAATGGAAACCACACACTCCCTCCTGCCTCCACATAGTTGTGTGGCTTTTGGGACAAAGCTATTCAAGCTTTGGAAGTCATGATGCAAAGGATCAAGAACTTCATTGATCCCATAGCAAGTAACAATCCAGGGGCAAAGGAAGATCACAGAATGGCAGAGATCTTTCTTTATAATCTAAAAATTATTATAAAACAGCACTAAACCAAACACTGCAAGTGGATGTATCTAGTTGGCATCTGGCTTCTGGAAAGACTGAGTGTAAGCTTTACCTCAGTTTTGTTAATCTCTACACAAGTTTCGATCTTGTAACTGGTTAGTTTGTGTTGTTAAAGGTATAAAGTTCACTCTTTACCACTTTTTTTTGCCTAAACCTTCTTCTTTTGATCCTTACTCCCTTGATGTCTCTTTTTGGCCTGTGTAAGAGCACGCATAAACTGAGCATAGTTCATAAAGCATGATGTGCTTCCTATAAAGCATCCTAAGACTTTCTTAAATGGTCTAAGGAAGTTTCCCAGTGTTACTACTCCTTTCTCCACAAACATGTGCTGCTTGTTCATCAGGTTAGGGTGGCACTGTTTTCTCAATACTGCAGAGCCATCCCACAAGCCCGTTAGCCTGAATTGGTGCTGAACATACATTTCATCCTAACTCATACCTGTTACCAAACCACTGAAGTTGATGCCTCTATTTGTTCCCTTATACCTGTGCTGCAGGAGACTGGACCTTTCTCATCAGTTGTTGTCAATGGGCATAGCTTGATTGACTTTGCCAATACTACACTTGTCTCCTTACAGGGTCTCTTCTGACAAATCATTCTCTGACACTGACTTTGTAACCCCCCCATCTCCTCCTTGGGGACCCATAAAGTCTGAGGCATCTTGAGAAGACACATTTTGGGGCCTGGGCCATCACTTGGTGATGCACCTGCGAAAAGCTTGCAGCTACCAGTCACATAACAAACTAACTGCTGTGCAAGATCTCTGCTTTCTTAGAGCTGAATTCCAATGTGGAGATGTCAGTGGGACCAGTACAGAGTTGCCTGAACTCACCTGAGATACACAAGTGCAGCAAAATTATCAGGCACTTGTTTTTTTCTTCTGCTTTCTGTGTTTTGTGAAAAAGATTTGTCTTTTCTTCATGGTGGACTGACACAGGCTGTGGGTTCTGCCAGCTGAGGACAGGTGCTGGCAGGACACATGGAGATGGAAGGACTCGGAAAAGGACAAAAAACCCCTCAAACCTCCGCTCTCCAGGGAGGATGAAGTGAGTGTGGATTATGAGCCAGAATGCTCAGTAAAGGGCAGTAGAGGTTGCAGCCTTTACAGTCAACAGCACCACAGTGAATCTGGGAAAGGCCAGAGTGGGTATGAAGAGAACAAAGCACCATATTTCATGTCACCTCCTGCAGTTGCAGAAGGGTGTGAGACCTTATCATGCTTGATGCAACGGCTGTTCACATCTTTCCACCACTTTCCCCAGAAAGTTTCTATTTAACCATCAAATAGCTAAGGTCAGGCGCAGGTAAGGATGGAAGTGCTCATTTTCGCTTTCTACAATACAATGCTCTCCTGTCGTGGGATGAGGGAGCTCCTTCTAGACCAATGCTTTGCAAACAGAATTATTCAGACAGGTGATATTTCCTGTGCATTATGAAGAAATAGGAGCTTATGGGCACTGATCATAAGCAGAATCCCCTGCAAACTGCTAGTGTAATAAATAAATATTTTTCAAATTACAGTTAGGCAAAAATGTCCTATTTTGAAAAACTACAAAATGTTCTCTCTGCAGGGAGATGTGAAGAGCAATTATGCTCCCATCTTTGCAAACATGGATTACAGAACTGAAAATGTATTTTGCTTTACAAAAACTTGCTTTGATTTTGTTCTAGTAATACTTGAGAATCTGCACTCCCAAATCTGCAAAAAGATGATAAAATATTTTAAAAAGGTAAATGTGTTTCCAAGCCACACATGAAGGCTAGCAATTGTTCGGTAATTCTATTTAAGCCTAAAATATTTGATGGCTTGGTGCTCTTGTCGTATTTTAACAGTATTTGCTGTAATCAGGCAGATTTATGTCCAGCTCTGCTCAGACATTCTCATTTTTAATCCAAAATTTGCCTCTTCATCCAGTAAAGTATATGCTGCTTCACTGTATGTCAGAAAGCAACTCAGAGTTCCTCCAAAGACAGTCTCAGCAGGAAGACCGTAGGTTCAAGTGGAGATAACACAGAGTCTCTTTTTCCCAATTCTCTGGACATAATGCCCACTAGGGACTGACATTAATGGAGAAAGGAACTGTATTTCCTTACAGGGACATTTCTTCTTGCACCTCTGTTTTCTCTCTGGTTCCCTGGTGCAAAACCCTCTGAGTTTTCACAACACTGCCAAGGGAGGCTCTATAGGCACTTGTGCAGTTTAGATCCCCAGCATATCCTTCTGAGAAGACTCAGGAGATGAATCTCAAATTAGGCACTAGAAGACAGAGTGACCTAAAATCACAGGCTATTGGCAGAAATCTTGAGTCTTTGTCAAAATCAGCATCTACCAAAATAGCCATGCATGCTTTCTGTTGGCTGGATATTTAAATTCTGATTGATATTATAGTTTGTTTCACGCTTTCTTAAAAACACCTGAAAGGGAGGGGAAGTATAACCATACCTACTGAAATAAATGGTTGCTGTCCCCTGGCCTGTGACAGTAGCATTTATCTTTTCTACAGCCCATATGAGGGGAAGGGAGAGAAGTCTCCTGCTCTTGCTTAGCTATTTTCTGTCAAAAAAATCTTAGTATAATTTTTGTACAGTGAATATTTATAACTGTTGTTACTGTCAATATAATTTTTTGCAGTTACTGTGCTTATTTACATTTTAATGGCCAAGTCAATAAAGATTTATGCACCTGTCATCTGAATTTTCCACAAAAGCAGTGATTGCTTAAAACCCCCAGTATCTCCTGCAGAATACTTCCCCCTCAAGCATCTTTTAGATGCCTTCATTGTTTTGGGAAATAGTAGGCTAACCAAGTCTTAAAGACATAAGTCAAACCCAGTAAAATCTTGCAGCAGTTTTCATGTCAAAACCTCTGCATATTACAAAAGCACTTGCTCAGGAACCATTTTTTTTCTATATATTATTTTAAACACTGTCCCTTGAGCGGCAAAGTCTGGTTTATCACTTTGGTTCATCTCAGATGCACAAACTACATTGCTTTTGTAGCTTGAGGAAATACGCTGCTTAGCGTTGACCTTGTTTTGATTTTAATGCAGTGAAAGGTACAGTTCAGAGCCCTGCTTTGTGGGGTGTGCAGGCATACCATTCAGGAGGGACATGCTATGCTCCAACGTTCACTCCCATGCACACATTACCCTCCTCCAAAATGTGAACTACAGAAAAGGAAACCTGAAGTCATTCCCTCTGCGCCTGCCCATGGTCTTGGCACAGGAGTTCGGGCTGCCAAGGCACGTGTGTGCCCTCATTCTGGCCATAGTTTTCCTGAAGGCAGCCACCCCACAAAGCCTTTTTTATCTCTACCCAGAGGAGTCCAGTGAGTCCCACACCACTGTTTCGCTGCAGCAGGGGCTCTGCAGCATCAGGTCCCTTTCCATTCCCAGACTAATGCAGTTATTTCTCTGCTGTCCATCACTTGCTGGATTTTACAGTGGGCTGGTGGCGGCAGGGAAAATAAGGAGAAGCTGGCTCTCTCCAGAGATCTGTTCTCTCTCTGGGGTGTACTCTCACTCCAGGCGGAGTTGAGCCAGGTCTGTTTCAGCTGAAGCTGAGGGTCTCAAAGACATGTAGAATTGCTCATTCATAGATCATAGATCCTACTGTCTCAGTGCAATCACCTGCGCTGGAGCTGCAAAGACACACGTCACAGGCGCAGGGCTGGAGGAGCCCTGGCCCCTCAAATGGCTTCGGTGCAGAGCTCTTGCTCTTACACAGCCTGGCTCACCCAGACTATGTGGCTGTAACCAGAGCACTGTCAAACCTGTCCTACATGCCCTTGCTCTGGTCTCCAGATTCTTGCAGCTTGCGCACAAACACACATTTTAATCGTGACACCAAAAGATATTTTCTCCC